TCACATCTTTTTTATAAAGTTACATCAGAAGGGAATTCTCGGAGTCGGATGGTGTTTCCTGTGATCGAGCTTCTTGTTAATGCGGGTGGCTTTCCTCACCCCCCCCGTTAGCAACAAACAGCCATCTCAAGAAACAACACACAAATCCAAGAATGCTCTTCTGATTGATCTATCTGTATTGTAGTTTATTTTTAATCAACATTATATTATAGAATTAGCTTTTCTGAAACAACTTAAAACTTTACAAATGAAATAAAAACTACAAAACTCCATCGTCCACCTTACTGTTTACATCTACTATTCAAAATGAAGAAAATATCCTATATATATTCTAAGGGGAGGTTATTGGAGATAACACGTTTTCTAATTTGGGTAATAACTGATAGCATTTGCAGATTTTTGCAAGAAAAAAGAATTTAAATCAATTTCTGAATTAGGAAAATTGTTTAAAAATTTCTCAAAAAAGAAAGAAAAAAAATAGATATAAAAAACAGCAGATATGTATTTCCACTCGTAGACGATTTTTTACCAATCTTGCGTAGTAGAAAAATAATACTCATATTTTTGTCTATGTTTAGTGTTGAAGAGATCTATTACAAAAGATAAATTTACCTTTACCGAAAAAAAGTTAGGAAAAAATCTATATATACATTGTTCACTCGAGCTAAAACAATGGAAACTAATGAAGAATTCAACAAAATCAGGATTCTTTCTAGTAATGATGAAACCTATTACAAATAAGAAAGAGTACAAATACATGTAATCCCAACTTACAATGAATCTGCTCACTACTTAGCCAAATTTTTTTTTTCCAATAATGTTTTCTATTCTAGTTGGATTTATTCCCCTATCTGGTTAACCCCTCTACTTTAATGTGACTTTGTATATTCTTCACTTTCTGGTCTAGAATATAATGTTGATTAAAAATAAAATACAATACAGATAGATCAATTAGAAGAGCATTCTTGGATTTGGGTGTCGTTTCTTGTGTTGGCTGTTTGTTGCTGACGGTGGTGGTTTGGTGGTAAGGAAAACCACCACCGTTAGCAACAAACAACCATCACAAGTGATAATACCGTATTTTAACCACTTTTATGGATCGATTTGAAATACTTTTTCTATGTTTTTTATTGCTTTCAAGTACTTTTATTACGTTTTTCTAGTATCTGTAGTTCCAAGACTTTTTTCAGGAAACTTAGGGAAAAACTTAACAAAATGGATAGAAGACCAGATTTTTAGCTCAGAGTCAAACCGTCAGAAATTCACCCCTGATTGAAGGCATTATCACCGTCTGATCCAGTTCAAATTTGGAGATCTCAAAGATGGAAGTATCAGCTTTCCAGCACACTTTACAGCTTGGCAATCCAACGGTTCAATCAAAAGATACGTGAAGAGCAAGATGTCCCGTAAACCATCCGACAAGCGTTTCCACCCGCGGCCAACAGGCCATTCCCCGCGGTCACAAGCATCCCGACCGCAGCCAACCATCCATTCCCCGCGGTCACGCACATCCCGACCGCGGCCAGCTAACTCCGAGTTCGAAGGCCCATTTCTGAAGCCCGTATCATTTTCCCAGCTTCAATTCCGGAACCCTAGACACCAGAGAGTATTGGAGACTATAAATACATATCATTTAGGTCGTTTTTAAGAAGAGAAAAAGAGAGACGAAATACTTTACAGAAATTTTACTTTAAGCTTTGTTCTTAGGTTTTAGGGAGAGAGAGATCTATCTCTTGAACCCTTGTTCTTTCTTTTTCAATTTCGGTTTCTGTACTACTTTTTAATACTATGTTTTTGATTTTGTTTATCATATTTGAGTAGTTTTATTGTTGGGTCTAAGGGATTTTCGATGGGGATACATATGTTCGATGAGGATTCCATGAGCTATTGAGCCAAATCTTAGAACTTTTTCTTCTGAATGCGTTTTTACTGCATGAGAGTAGCGTCATGAACTACAATCTGATCCAGATGCTTGGTGACACGAAAGTGTTCATCTGGTATCAGATCTAGTTTGGGAGAGCAAAACAAACATAGGAGTGGAAACCTACCTATGGGCGATTTGTGAATGCTGACGAGTCTTAAACATAATGCACCTCTTCTTTTCCAGGGCCAGAGTGGAAACCTACTGGTCAGGGTTGAGAGAGATAGTTGTCTATGATCACGACAGTGGCGTATTCATACGTCCGTGACTCCAGTTCGAAAAGTTTAAGCTAAGATCTTATCAAATTTACTCTCTAGCTATGTTTTGAATCGTTTATACCCCTGAGAAAACTTCCCTGAACCCCAGCGCTTTCTTTTCTATAGATTTACACCGATTTTTATTCAAGCTTAAATCTAGTATCTTTACTCATTCAATCGATTTTCATTTAAGCAATTAGGTTTAGCCGTTTTTCCGTTTTTACTCGTTTTAGTTAAGTTTAGTTATTAGGTCATTTTAATTACCGTATTTTCTCTTTAAGATTCATTTTTACGTTTTAAACACACCACTAAAACCCTCACAAAACTCGCCTGGTTCTAGACTTCTTTACTTTATATTTCTTTCAAATGCTTTTGCAGGAAAGATCCTCCTTCCCTGTGGATTCGATCCGTAAGTACTACAATCGATCAGCTGTGCACTTGCGGCTATTGATTTCATTTAGGGTAAAACTTGACAACCCTCACCGCACACCACATCAACAAAAAACGACATCCAAATCCAAGAATGCTCTTCTGATTGATCTATCTATATTGTTGTTGTTGCTACTGCTGCTTAAGTCAACAACATCCACTCCAGTTCTCAACCATCCACCTGTGTTGGATTTAGAAGAGGAACCAACCTCTCGACGAGCATCCAAATCTTGGTATGCGTTCTCAAGCATCCAGCAATGAAAATGCATGGAACCTCAACTTTAACGGGATGCAGAGATGTGGGTATAATCCAGAATTCTCACTTGGCTGCAAAGATGCTTCTGCTTCTGGGGTTAATAGTAGCAGATCAAAGAGTTTAGAAGACATTGTTGGAAAAAGCATTTTTTGCTAAGTAGTGAGCAGATTCATTGTAAGCTGAGATTAAATGTACTTGTACTCTTTTTTATTTGTAATAAGTTTCATCATTACTAGAAATAATCCTGGTTTTGTTGAATTATTCATCAGTTTTCATAGTTTTAAGTCAAATGAACATATATATAGATTTTTTTCCTAATTTTTCTTTCGTAAATTAAATTTATTTTTTGTAATAGATTATTAAAAAATATCTTTAACACCAGACATAGACAATAATATGTGTATTATTTTTCTCACCACGCAAAATCGGTAAAGAATTGTCTACGAGTGAGAAATAAATACAGTTATGCTATTTTTTATAACTATTTTTTCCAATTCAGAAATAGATTTAACTTTCTTTTTTCTTGCAAAAATCTGCAAATGCTATCAATTGTTACCCAAATTATCACTAGGCACTATGTTGTAATTATAATTTGTACTAGTATGTAATTAAGCTTTGGCCTTTGCGACATGTGTTTAAGGGTAAAAGTTGTTCTTGTGGAAGTGTTTATTCTTAAAAGCAAACAAAGGAGAATTAAGTTAAAAAAAAAACAAAATTTAAACTCACACAATTATTATAATTTGAGTGCATACATACACATGATAAAAAAACTTTAACTTAAAAAGCTCGTAAATACTCAGAGGAGAGGATGATGGAAAAGCATACATGAAGGAGATAACAAAACTGTTTTCAAGCTTATCAATGGTGATTTATCAAACTTCACATTGCATAATTTGGCAAGTCAAGTTCATTGGATATTCAGAAAAGAAAACAGAGTTGCATCGGTTGGCCAAAGAAGAACTTTCAACAAGCTATCAATTTGATTTTTATCTGTATGTAAACTTATTAAAAAACATAAAACAATCAGTGAGATAATGGGATCCAAATCACAAGCAAAGACCAAAGCCAAAGAGACTTCTTGCGAAAAGGAGCTGTACAGAGAATGCTTCTTAACTTTCTCTTTTGTTCTTATAAGAAAACTACTGATAAGAATCATAAGATGATTTGATTTAACGAGTGTTGTTTTCAACTGAATCAGTATTAGATTATTAGCTAATAATTATAATAAAGTGTTGCAATTCAAAAGACGACCTTATGAAATATAAACTAAAAACAAACATCTAAGTAAGTTTTCAAAAAAATAAATCCCTAAAAACAAATTAAGTAGCTACTGGATCATAACACCAAACAGCTTAAACCCTCCTTTCTTCTTCTCTGATTTGGTTTCTTCATCTTCTAACTTCGAGCTAATGAAGTTTTCTGTTTTCAGTTCTTTCACAGAACTGTTATGAGCACTCTCGTTTTCTTTCTCGTCGTCTGAAAAGAAAAGAATATCGATCATCCAGAAGTTCTTGCTCTGACCATCTAATGTCTTAAGATTGCACTCGTAGAAGAGGATAACATCGTTCTCCTTGAGATTCTTCTCCTTGACGAAGCCGTTCCATCCTCTGGTGAAGACAAAGCTCTGGCTACTTCTCCAGTAACAATACCTAAATTTCCATTGTCTCTTTCCTGTGTCGTAAAAAACAACCTCAACTTCTTCTGATATTTCACCCTCTTCTCTGTCTTTTTGATCAATGCTTATGTAAGGTAAATGCTTCACTGCATACTTCTTAGGTATCACAAGCCTGTTGAGTTTCCCTACATCGCTTGGTGTCAATTTCTTCTGAAACAGCTGCTTACACGAGAAGCACTTGTTGTCAGATTCTTTGTCTCCTCGGCTTTGTTTTGATCCTCCGGTGTTGATCCTCGTGGCCATCTGGCTGAGAAATTCTTTGAACTTTTGTTGGTAAGAACCGTCTCTGATCATGTTCAACACAGCTTCTGTTGAGTGAAGTTTTTGAAACCTTGGTTCGTGGACCGTGAAATCAGAACAAGGGAAGTTCCGGTGCGAGTTAGCGTCGAAGCTTCTGAGCAAGATGGAGGCGCTATCGTAAGCTGTGGCGGCTTCAGCAGCGGATTTGAAAGTGCCGAGCCAAATCCTTTTGTGGTCTGTGTAAATCTGAGCCCCCCAATGACCGTTTTGTTGCTGAACCACTCCCTTGTATTTTGCATTGCTTGAACATGACGCAACCTTCTTTGTCGCGGTCGCAACTAGGGCATTGTCAGGTTCCTCCTTGAAAGGTCTCATGCGTTTCTTGAGAGGTAAGAAAGAGTTGCTTTTGCTCTCGGACTTAATTAGATCATCCATCGGAATAACAGAGGATACCAGACACATAGCAAGAGAGAAAGGGAGAGAGATCAAGAGAATTTGGACTTTGGAATGAGAAAACAATGGAGAGATTAGACGGAAGATTAGAGAGATATATATGGAGTCAATCGTGGGAAATCATCAGACTATGTTTCTAGTATTTATCAAACAAATAATTTCCTTTTTTCTTGTCTTGTTAATAATGCTATTTCTTTAATTGACCGTTGGAGATATTTTACTTTTTTTTTAATCTATTTGTGACCATATTTTTACTTTTTTGTTGAAAACATTAATTGCTTGAGAGATTTGATTCGTAGAAAATGTTAAACTTTCTTAAGTTAGTCATTATTATTTAGCAAAACTTTTCTCATCCCATGTGTTGTGTATTTTTCTTTTGTTTATTGTTTTCTGATTGGTTAACTTATCTAAGATTTAGACAGATAAACCCAAGTGGCCGTTTTTGAACATTTGAGACAAATTAGGGTTTTGCAATCATCAAAAGCTCGACCAAATTAGGGTTTTGGTCTTTTTGTTGTGTTGTTGACATCACTGCTAAGAAATCTGAGGTTTCTGATGTTTCCGATACTGTAAGTTTATATTTGTCAAAAAATACTAACAGGCCCAAAAGCCCAATCTTAACCACTCCCACTCTTGTTCTTCTTTCTTCTTCGCTGAATAAAAGTTGAGAAACCCCTAAATAGAGTTGCAGAGGAAATCAGAGGGAAAAGGAAAGCACCGAGCTTTGAGATGGACACTGGTGCATCTTACCAGAGATTCCCAAAGGTGAAGATCCGTGAGCTTAAAGATGACTACGCCAAGTTCGAGCTTCGTGAGACCGATGTATCCATGGCCAACGCTCTCCGTCGCGTCATGATCTCCGAGGTCCCCACCGTTGCAATCGATCTGGTCGAAATCATGATTAATTCCTCTGTTCTCAACGATGAGTTCATCGCTCATCGATTAGGTCTCATCCCTCTCACCAGCGAGCGTGCTATGAGCATGCGTTTCTCTCGCGATTGCGATGCTTGCGATGGAGACGGACAGTGTGAGTTCTGCTCTGTTGAGTTTCAGCTTGGCGCAAAATGTGTCACAGACCAAACCCTTGATGTCACTAGTAGGGATCTGTACAGTGCTGATCCTACTGTTACTCCTGTCGATTTCGCTACCGATCCTTCTGCAACTGATTCTAGCGAGCAAAGGTATCTCCTTTTCATCACTGTCAAGTTGTTTACATGCAGGCATGTGATAATCACTTCGTCAAATGCACAATTTAGATATTAGGCTTACTGTCTCAAAGATTTAGCCTTATTACCCTGATAAAAAGGATACCTTTTTGCCGATTTAATGACAATTTCAGAGCAATCCAAGGATGAAAAATACTTCCTTTATGATTTTTTTATGCTCTGCTGTTTGACTCCTCTTGCTTTTGGTTGTTTTGATATTTTAATTTGGTAGGTGGGTGACTTTTTTTCTGCTTACTCTTTTGGTTCCTGAATTTTTCTTTTGGTTTCAGGGGAATTATCATAGTGAAGCTGCGCCGTGGACAAGAATTGAAGCTTAGGGCGATAGCAAGGAAAGGAATCGGGAAAGATCACGCAAAATGGTCTCCTGCAGCTACTGTGACGTTTATGTATGAGCCTGACATAAACATTAATGAAGACATGGTGGATACTTTGACAGACGAGGAGAAATTCGACTTGATTGAGAGCAGCCCGACCAAAGTATTTGGCATTGATCCAGTCACCAGACAGGTTAGTTTAGACATTGTGGATCTTTACGAGTTTATAGCTTTGATACTTTTTTGGCTTTCCTTCCTTTAAAATATATGATATTGGTGTCTGTATTTTCTCTAGGTGTTTAGTGCGTTGAGCTTATTTTGTACTTATCTTTCTCTTAGATTGCACTACTTGGCTCTCTAGTACCAAATTATACATTTGGTTGTGAAATTTACAGGATACTTACATAAGTCAGCTGAATGAATCAAAAACAACTGCTAAACTTTTAGTACCAAATTGATATCTATGTAGATTCACTACAAAATTGTATGAAATGCCAATGGAATGGATGTCATAAATATCACGGAAAGTGGATTTAGAAAGAAGAGGATAGATTACGTAAAGTACCAATGGGATGTGTATTTGAGATTTCAAGTTGGTGGTTCAGTATCTACCTTGATTTTGTTATATTCTGCTATCACTAGGACTTGCTACGATAGAAGTAACTTTCGTAGACTTTGAAAGAGCATTACCTATTAAGAGGCTTGTATGCCATTTCTTTTACCGTCTATTGATTTTTATTTCCCTAGCTAGCTATCAAATTAAGCTTTTGCTATCATCTTAGCATTTCACTGTTAGCATTTTGCTATCATGTTCACCATTGTTGTTATGATACTTTGCTTCTACAAGGTTGTGGTGGTTGATCCGGAAGCATACACTTACGATGAAGAAGTGATCAAGAAAGCAGAAGCCTTGGGAAAACCGGGGCTCATTGAGATCCACCCGAAAGATGATAGCTTTATATTCACTGTTGAAACCACAGGTGCAGTGAAGGCTTCGCAACTGGTACTGAATGCCATAGACATCCTGAAGCAGAAGCTTGATGCAGTCCGCCTCTCAGACGACACTGTAGAAGCTGATGATCAATTTGGTGAGCTCGGTGCCCATATGCGTGGAGGATGAGCTTGTGGTAAATTCGAGCTCCATGTTAACAAGACTAGTGTAGGGGCACATTCTTGTTAGATAGCAGCTTGTGAAGCAATGGTCTTCTGTTTGTCACTGACCTTTGATCATTTCGTTCTTGAATGTGGTTATTAAGTGAGTTCAAACTAATGTCGTAAAAGCTCGAGTAAAGAAGAAGTTGTTCCTTAGTAATGTAATGACATGCTTCACAGCTGGTACAGAATGCTTCATAACTCAGACGACACTATAGAAGCTTACGAACAATTTGGTTTTTTAATATGATACGCTATTTTTTAGTACATAAGGCGCAAACTATACATGATGCACACTACTTTTATTAAAATCCAGAGTCATTAAGAAAAACGTAGCTATTGTTGGATCCTCACGCCAAACAGCATAAACCCTCCTTTCTTCTCCTCTGCAGATTTGGTTTCTTCATCTTCTAACTTGGGACCAAAGTCGTTTCCTGTTTTCGTACTGTCATCAACCTTGTTGTTTACTCCCTTGGGATCCACGAAACCATTGTCTGAAAAGTATTGAACATCGATCATCTTGTTGCTCTGAACATCGATCATCTTCTTGAATCCACACTCATCGTTGCACTGGTAGAAGACGATAACGTCGTTCTCCTTGAGTTTCTTCTCCTTCACGAAGCGATTCCATCCTATGGTGAAGGCAAAGGTCTGGCTAGTTCTCATGTAACAATACTTAAACTTCCATTGTGTCTTTGCCTTATCATAAAACACAACCTCAACATCGTCCACAGATCCTCCCACTTCTCCCTCTTCTCTCTCGTTTTGATCAACGCTTAGGGGAGGTAAATGCTTCACTGCATACTTCTTAGGTATCACAAGCCTATTCAGTTTTCCAACATCGCTTGGTGTCAATTTCTTCGTAAAAAGCTGCTTGCAAGAGAAGCAATTGTTCGATTCTTCGTCTCCTCGGCTCTGTTTTGATCCCACGGTCGCAGCCATCTGAGAACGGGTTCTAACAAAATCTCTGAACTTTTGTTGGTAAGTACCGTCTTTGATCATGTTCACCACAGCTTCTATTGTGTAGTCTTCTTGAAATTCCGGTTCTTGGACCGTCGAGTCAGACCAAGGAAAGTTCCGGTGCGAGTTAGCGTCGTGGGGTCGGATCTTGATGGAGGCGCTATCGTAAGCAGTGGCTGCTTCAGTAGCGGATTTGAAAGTGCCGAGCCAAATCCTTTTGTGGCCTGCGTAAATCTGAGCCCCCCAGTGACCGTTCTGTTGCTGAAACACTCCCTTGTATCTTGCATTGCCTGAAGACGCAACCTTTTCTGTCTCCGTCGCAACCTTTTCTGTCTCCGTTGCAACCTTTTCTGTCTCCGTCGCAACCTTTTCTGTCTCCGTCGCAACCTTTTCTGTCTCCGTCGCAACTTTTTCTGTCTCCGTCGCAACCTTTTCTGTCTCCGTCGCAACCTTTTCTGTCTCCGTCGCAACCTTTTCTGTCTCCGTCGCAAGTAGGGCATTGTGATCAGGTTCCTCCTCAAAAGGTCTCATGCGTTTCTTGAGAGGCAAGAAAGAGTCGCTTGAGCTCTCCGACTTAGTTAGATCGTCCATTGGAATAGCAAGAGAAATTAAGAGAGTTTAGATTGAGAAAACAATTGAGAGATTATACGAAAGATCAGGAAGAATCGTCTATGATCAGGAGAAATAAGATGAAAGGAGAATGGATTTTGTTGAAAAACAGAGTATGCTTTAAACGATGATAAGGTTCTTTAATAACTAATGACAGTTTTTGAGACGCCCCAAGAACCCAAGATTAAAATCCCTAAGACACTTATAAAAGTTCAAATCCTATCAAAATCCTTAAAGTACCCAAGAAAGTCTCCTAAAAGCTCTAATTCTTCAATAAATGTATCTAAGACTTTTCCCTCATAAACCTTAAGACCTATTATCAAGAAAAGCTTTATGCTGAGCATCGTCATGATTATTTTCTATGTGTTTGATCAGGTCGATCTTTGTCTTTCTGTTTCCTTTGAAATTTTATTTTCTTGTCATTTATGTTTCTCTGTAAGAAGATCAGTTACGACCCAGTTCTTCTAGTCCATATTAGCCATTTGTTGTTTCCTCTATATGTATCCCTAAGGGACGCAAATTAGTTGATATTTGTTAACTTTTGAAGAAACTGCTTCTTGCTTTTCTTGCATTCGGTTCTTTTCATGAACTATGTTGTTCCTTCTCCATGAAGACTTATAAAAGAACACAATGAATTTGTGCTATTAGTTCCTCTGTTTCATCTGTGTATTCTCAATATTTTACCAATCTGGCTGGTGTTAAAATTATACATGAATTACACTATTCTGTTAAAATCCAGAGTCTTTAAGAAAAACGTAGCTATTGTTGGATCATAACGCCAAACAGCATAAACCCTCCTTTCTTCTCCTCTGATTTGGTTTCTTCATCTTCTAACTTGGGGATCAAAGTCGTTTCCTGTTTTCCTTTCTTCATCAGAACTTTCATCAACCTTGTTGTTTACTCCCTTGGAATCCACGAAACCATTGTCTGAAGAGTATTGAACATCGATCATCAAGATCTTGCTCTGACCTTGTAATGTCTTGACATCGTCGCACTCGTAGAAGAGGATAACATCGTTCTCTTTGAGATTCTTCTCCTTGACGAAACCGTTCCATCCTCTGGTGAAGACAAAGCTCTGGCTACTTCTCAAGTAACAATACTTAAACTTCCATTGTGTCATTGCCTTATCATAAACCACAACCTCCTCAACGTCTTCTGCTATTTCACCCTCTTCTCTGTCGTTTTGATCAATGCTTATGTAAGGTAAATGCTTCACTGCATACGTATTAGGTATCATAATTCTCTGAACTTGTGTTGGTAATTACCGTCTTTGATCATGTTCACCACAGCTTCTGTTGTGTAATCTATTCGAAATTCCGGTTCTTGGACCGTTGAGTCAGACCAAGGAAAGTTTCAGTGTGAGGAACGTCTGAGTTGGTGATACGGATTCTTCAACAACGGATCCTCCCGAGGACTGGGAAGGTCTAGCTCCCGACCATCTTTTGATCCAATTAGCATCTAACTGGTCCATCGAGCTCCAACATTTTGAACCGTAAATGTTTGAAAAGAAAAACATCACACTGTACAGAGATATTATGATTCTTTCACTTGTTAAAGCTATATCCTTTGTTGGATATGATTACTTTGAGTCAATGGAAGCTGCTATATAGATCTGATCGTATTGGTCTCTTAAAACTTCAAATTAATATGGTATATAATGCATAGTGCTCCCCTGTGCATTCAAGCTTTTGTTATTGTTTACTTTTAAATAACAAAGAAGTTTGTTAATGAGATTAATTAAAAAAAAAACAAAAAAAACAAAACCTGTAATAGACAAAACTAACAATCACAAAGACAAAAGAGTTTCAATGTGATTGGGGAAAGATTGGAGGTCTCGTAGACGTCTGTCTCCTAGTCCATTGCGTTGTCTAAAATCATCATCCGCAATTCCTCTAAATTCGATTCTTCTGAACGTTTGTCTCTTTGGATCAACATATATAACAGGAACACATTTGAATGCCGTGTTTTGCACGTAAACCAACTCGCCATCATCAGTGACACCCACTAATTTGAAGTTTTGCAAACCCTGATCATAGTTAGAAAGCGGTGAAAATATATCATTCGACCATTCTTGTTTCTCCGCATCCTCCAAAATCCACAGCGAAATACTGTTCCCACTAGAACCAACACAAGCTAACTTTCCTTGATAAGATATCATCATCACCATCATCCTATACCAATAAATCTTAGGCCATAGATATGGAATTGTTATCACATTGATGAACTTTTCAGATCTTACGTCGAAGCTCATTATAACCCACTCGTTACCAAGGTGCGCAAGATAATATAGAACTCCGTTGATGCATCGTCCATGATAAACACCTTTGCGTTTGCCAGTGAAAGGAGAATGATTATGGCTGCATTTGACCCTTCTCCATGGTTCTTGATCTGATGATCCTAGAGTTAAAACCCGACACTCATCAGATGAGTTAGGGTGACCAGGCATGCACATTACTTTGTGCTTACCCTCCACAGGATCGTAGCCTAAAAATACTTTTATATCCTTCCAGGTCTTGTCCGGTTTAGGTAAAGGTAATAACTTTCTAATGCTAGGGTTCCAGACTATAGGGTTTGCTGATCTTTGAAAGCAGATTAAGCCGTGGACCGACTCAGTTTTCATTGTGAAGGAACAACGTTTTGGGTATGTCATATGGTAACTATCAATAGGCTGAGAAGAGTAATAAGAATAAGACTCATTAGGGTTTGGATTGTGTTGAGGAAGCGAGAAAACAAAGAACCTTTCACCTTCTTTGAAGAAGAGTAGAAGCCTTTTTGGCCTCCTAGTTTGGAACGAGTCGGTGAAATTCGGCTCGGTGATGATTGATGACCAAAGCTTCGAGACACAACGAAACCTCAAGACAGATTTTGCTGGCAGCTTTAAGAGTATCTCTGAGGCTATGTCGAGAGGTAAGGACGATGTTGAGTTTAACAAAGATGAAGAAGAAGATTGTCTTCTTCTTTTTCTCTTGATATTTTCAGTCTTCTCTTCTCGTTGCTTCATCGTTGCCCAAAACCCTATAATTTGTTCGCTACTTTTCTTCACGATTTCATTCCTCTATTTATGTCTTTCCACTTCTTTATTAAATCTCTATTCTCTCTCTCTATATATATACTAGGTTAGAGCATGTACATCTGAGTATCAGCTCTAGTATCAGGCCCAAATTTTGAGATAAAATTCATTAAAAATAAATGAAAAATGGGTTATTTTTGGTGATCCAGTCTCGTCCGGAAGAAGCTGAAGAAACGGTATCACGGACACGTGGTGCACTTGGATTCGTCGAAAATTTTGGGGACAAATTTTTTTTTTTCACGGGCAATTTCTTTTCCTTCACCCGACCCTCTTCCCAGGTGATTTTCAGGCGGATCAAGCGGTGAACTTCTAATCTTCGAGTATCCATTCCAAGCATCCAGGTAATACTTCTTCTTCTCTAATTTGTTGAACTTGAAACAATTTTGGGGATTTTAGGGTTTCGAAATTGGAGGCTCTGTTCGGATAATTTGTTTCAAAATTGGGGGCTCTAATTTGTTTCGAATTTGTTGAACTTGAAACGGTTTTGTTGAGCTTATTGTCATCGATGATCTCTTATCTGCTTTGGTTGGAGTTGAAGGGAGGTATATATCATCAAGTATGTAATGTGTTAATGCTCTCCAAATGATGAAAGCTGCGTGCTTAGAGAAGTTATAGAACAGACTGTTTTTGCATTGTTAGGATTGTATTCAAAGACATTTTGTGTCATCAAGTTATAGAACAGACTGTTCTTGCAGCGTGCTTAAAGCAGTTAAGAACGTTCACGCCGTTATAGATAAGGAGATTGCAGGCGGAATAAATCCAGAAAATGTGTATATCTGTGGATTTAGCCAAGGAGGTGATCACTCTTTGCCTCTCTATAGTTACACACCTTTCCATGGATTTATCTTTTTAATTTTTTTGTTTGAATTGATTTACCTTTCAGTTTTTTGTGTAAAATGATCTGAAAATCTACAGTCTGTTGATTTTCTTGCATTGCGTTCTTGCAGGGGCATTAACCTTGGCCAGCGTTCTTCTTTACCCAAAAGCTCTTGAAGGAGGTGCAGTCTTTTAGCGGATGGGTTCCATTCAATTCTTCGACCATTAATCAGTTTACCGAAGATGCTAAAAATGTTTCATCTGTCTTTTTCCGGTTTGTATAAATGCTCCATTTATCCGTCAATGTTTCTTGGGTTTCTGAGTCTCCAGAATTGGCATATGCAGACACCGATCTTGTGGTCTCATGGCATTGATGACAAGACTTTATTTCGAAGCTGGTCAAGCAGCTCTTCCTTTTCTTCAAGAAGCTGATGTGACTTGTGAATTCAAGGTACTATAACAATAATAATCATATCAAATCCAACGCTCATGTTCTGATCATATAAACCAATTATTGAGAGTGTAAAATCTGAAGAGGTTCGATATATCTGCAGGCTTATCCGGATCTCGGGCACTCGATCAGTAATAAGGAGCTTCAGTACTTGGAGTCATGGATCAAACAACGGATGCAGAGTTCTTCTTCTTCTCTTCCTCAAATGCTTTAATAATCAAAAATTATTTTTTATTCTTGATGAACCTTTCTCTAGAGTTCACCAATGGAATTTTAATTATAGCACAGGTTCTTCAATAAACTCAAAACAAAAAAAACTATTATTTTATTTTGGTGAACCCCAAATAGGGGTTCACTAATGTACTTACTCTTAGAAACCCGCGTATACATTATTAAATGCTGAATATTAAATAACCAATTCGTATAAAAATATAAACTAATTTGTAATCAAATTATTGTGAGTGATATAAGTTGTAAATAATTTAGTTATGACGGACTATTTTTATATTAATCTTAGAAATTCTTATCATGACAGCACGTTAGCATGGTAGTATTATAAAGAACTCACGTGTCAAATTTAACAGTCCTTTCTCAATTAAGATATAAAGGGATACTTATCAAACGTCCCTCAATCCAATAAAAGTGGGAATTGGTTGAAGCTCAGGAACAGAGTGACAACTCTTTTAGCATGTCAATGCTTTGGAACCAAAATATGGTTGAGAGAAGATCGTTGCAGTCTTTAAGCGACGATAAGCGACGATCGTTTGAAAGTTTGTAGACATGACAACATAAATTAGGGAAGAGTACTTGGTTGATTCCAACCAACAATACCATCTTGCTCATGATCCTGAGACCAGCAGAAGAATTGGATTGAGAGCCATATGTGTATAGTGTGCTTTGGACCCTCCCAAATAAAAAAGTTTATTGAAGAAACTTATACATCCATCTTGAAAAGCTCTAGTACTGGTAACTGGTAAGTTAGGCGAATCTTCTAGCAACCGGACAAAGACACTCAACGAATACTCTTGGCATATACATAGCTTCAGATGTTCAAGCTCGTTGAAGACAAAACCTTCACCATATATATAAATCATGCGCAAAATATTAAAATCAAAATATTCTATAATGGAGATTAATTCAAGACTTGCAATTGATGAATGAAACTATACGAAACAATCATGAAGATGCATAAATTAAGTGTTATCCCAAGTGCCAAAAAAGAAATCAACAAATTTTATTACAAAGATTTGAGAGTCTCAATGTGATTCTGGAAAGTGTGGAGCGGATAGATACGTCCATCTCCAACTCCCTTGAACTCGACTTTTCTGAAGCTGTTTTTCTCCGGATCATTAAATAGTATATAAAAATATTTATAAAACCCTAATGGTACATATCTAAACTCACGAGCATGAGTGTTGCCATTAAAGTGGAAATGGGCTTTCAAACTCGGATCATAGTGCTGGAAAGGTGCAAGGAAGTGTTTAAACGTCCAGTCGTAGTCGTGTATCTCTGCATCCTCCAAAATCCACAGTATAATACCACCATCTACGTTATGTTGGTTAATTAAAACATAAGCTAACCTTCCCTCATAAGGTATTAGCATACGCTCGTAACGTATTGGTTTTTACTTCCACTAAACTTTATGCATGAGTCAAAAAATGTCGGATGTCTTAAAAAATTTGGAAGTTCTGAATACATATATTATTATTTTTATAATTGTATGCATGAGTCAAAAAAAAAACAATTGCCATCCTACTATCCGTTGAACAGCTTTAATGTGTTCTACCAATTTATTTGACAGAAAATAGAATACCAAGGTTGTGCATGTTGGCTCATTTCTGTACTCTATGAATTAATAGACGAGCTTTTTCTGAAACTCCCATTAAATTTCATGCATGAGTCAAAAATAATGTTGGATGTCTCTATTTTTTGGAAGTCCTAAATTGATTTATATTTATATATAATATTTTTCTGAAAATTGCATGCATGTGTGATGAGTCAAAGAAAACAATTGCATGCATGAGTCAAAAAAAGTCGTGCATGAGTCAGAAAGAAAAGAATTGCATGCAGAGTCAATAATGTCGTACATGCATGAGTCAAAAAAATCTAGAGTTGTAAACGTCTATATATACCACAAAGAATTCATATTTTTCATTTAACTTAGAATCATTCTATAATATTTTCTTTTGAGTACTAAAATGTCTATTAGTTCTGCTGGTTATTCTCGTGAAGAAGATAGGCTTTTATCTCAAGTTTATATGGATATTTCTCACGATCCAATAAAGAGTATTCACCGGTCCTCCAATCAATTTTGGTCTCGTGTTGAAGAAGCTTACGCAAAAAAAAATGCACATTGGAGTGAACGTACAAAAAAATCCATTCAATGTCGAATTCAAAGTATTGAGAGAGCATGCATCAGACAGTGTGAAAACCGACGTCCAAACGGTACTTCAGATGATGATATTGTAAGTATTAATTTACATCTAATAATTTAATATTTATTACTATATTAGTGAATTTTTTACTTTAATTCTATGACATAAAAAATACATACAAATTTAAGGTTATGTTTTATTTTTGATTTGTAGAGGAATTGTATTCCTACTTTTTGAATAGTAACATTTTTGTTTTTTATTGATATGCAGTTCAGTCAAGCCAAACTAATGTTACAAGAAGATCCAAAGTTCAAAACAGGTTGAAAATTTGAACATGTTTGGAATATTATTAAAAACTTTGAAAAAATTTAAAGATGGTGCCGATCCTAAACGCATATTAATCCCACCTCGTGCCGAGTATACATCGTTCGAGTCTGGAAATTCTATTGATTCTCCTACACAAGCATCTCCAGGTTTGTCTTCATTTTCTTTAAACTTAGATGATACCGACGAGCTTACTAGCGGATCTCCTTCTCCACGACCAATGGGGATCAAGAAATCCAAAAATAAAAGAAAACTTGTTGATCAAACAACATCAGTTATCAACACTTTAGAAGAAGGAAATAAACAACTTTTGGAGCAATTAAAGAAGACAAGTGCACAAAGACAAGATCATCTGGAGATTCAACAGAAAAACTATGCTTTGAAAGAGCTGAAGATGGAAAACAAAATGTTATTTTATGACATGAGTTCCATATCAGATCCAAATATTCGTGCATATGTTCAAGGCGAACAAACAAAAATTTTACAAAAGCGGAATGCTCAACAACAAAATCAAGAATTTTCTCCTCCATCAACTTCGTTTGGACAATATTTTAATGATATCGATGGATCAGGAAGCGATTTAGCAGAATATTAAATTGTTTGTATTTGTTGTGTTAAATTTTTATGTTTATCTTTGATTTTAGCACTTGTTGTGTATTTTTCAGTTTATTTTAAGTTGTAATATTTTGAAATAAAAATTTTAGTGTTCAAATATTTATGATTGTCTATTTTATATTTTTTTAAACTATTAAAGTCCTATAATCTTGTCAAAAAATCTTATAAACATGAATCATAAAATAAAAACTTAATTATTAAACCGATAGTTATATATATATATATATACATACATAAAGACCATTTTAATTATATATATATATAAGTCAAAGTGATATGTGTCATACAAATATTAGGTGTATATCTGAAAAAATGCATATAGCCATATATAATGTCGAAAATAATGCTGTGCTGATAAAAGTACAAAATTATAATGATTTAATATTTTAAGAATCAGATTGTAAATAAAAAAATATAACTGCAAAATGGAGTAGAATAAAGGTTTACTCCAAATATGGAGCAATCTCTATATTTTCTCCATTTTGCAGTCAAAAATGGAGTAGGTTTGGAGTGAAATTTACTCCAAAATGGAGTTTGCAGCAAAAAATTGGAACAAGATTGGAGATGCTCTTAGAGATACTCATAGTTGGTAATGTTATCACACCGAACTTTTCATATCTGATTAAAGCATGTGGCGGTTATTTTAAAAAGTACAAATGATGATAAAGTTTATTTATTTATATTTCTCTGGTCAAATATTATTAGAAAATCAAAATTATACATAGGAAAATGTTTCGATAGAGAGACTCATAAAAAGGGAAATAACAGAGTATGGATTTTGTTAATCAGGTTTGAATAACAGAGTATGTTTTAAACCATGATAAGATTTTATAATAACTAATTAATGACAAATTTTGATACGCCCCAAACCCAAGATTAAAATCCCTAGACACTTATAAAAGTTCAAATCCTATCAAAAACCTTAAAGTCCCAAGAAAGTCTCATAAAAGTTTTAATTTATTCTATTAAAACAGAAGCAGTGCTGGGCAATAAAACCGAAACCGAAATATTCAACTGAACCGAACCGAATTTTTTCGGTTTGGTTCGGGTTCGGTTGTCGCTAAAATCCGAATAGTTTTTAAAGCTGGTAATTTTCGGTTTTTGGTTCGGATCGGTTATTATACTGATAACCGAAATAAACCGAATTAATTAAAACCTAAAATTAAACCGAAATAAACCAAATAATCTCAAGCCCTAAATTATCCTAAGCCCACCGATACTTTATCTTCCCCTTTCTGCAACTTCAATCGACAAAATCTCTACTCTCAAACTGGAATCCCGAAACCGAGCTGGTCCTTTGCCTTCTGAGACGTCGAGAAATCGATCTCAGGTAAGTTTTAATTTAAGCTTTGTTTATGTGCTTTATGATGAGTTTGAATCGATTTTTTTTTGTTTTACACAAAGTCTGCATCAAATTCGAATTAATTTGGTTTGGTTTTTGCTCTTGAAAATTTGTAGATGTTATGTGCTGAATCGATTTATGGTGATTTTGTTTGATAATTTGATTTATGTTTGTTTGATTTATGTGCTTTAGTGTTTGAGTCGATTTTGATTTATGTGCTTTAGCTTGTTTGAATTATTTATCTGCTTTAGCTTGTTTGAATCGATTTTGTTTAGCTTGTTTGTGTTGAACTTATCAACGACAACTTCCAAAAGTTTGGTCTCAATTAAGATAATTACAAAGGTCTGGTCTCAATTAGATAGCATAATTTTGTAGTTTGTCGTTGTCTAATTTCTGTCTTTTGCTGGTTTTTGTTCTCTGTTCTTAATCCATCTTTGATTGTTTGAACTTGGGCTTGAAGTAGCCATTAACATCGATTCACAAATGTAATAATCTATTTTCCTTTTTTTGTTGCTAAAATGATTCTCATTGTTTTTTTTATGTTTATAGGTATCAGATGCATTCTTTGAAGTTTGGAATTTGGAGTTTAGACTTGGTATGATTGGAAGTTGGAACTTTGTTTCTTTGTCTTATTATTTTCTGGATTGGAACTCAGCTTCTCTGTTTGGATTGTGATTGTCACTTATCTTTTATGTTTGTGTGGGATTGAAAGCTGAAACACATTTTGTTTTTGCAAAAATTTCGGATATATTGGATAATTTTCGGTTTTTTCGTTTTTTTTTCGGTTGTTTCGGTTTTTTTGGTTGTTTCGGTTTTTTCGGTTCACAAAAAAACCAAACATCCATTACCACCAATTTTTTCGGATTATAATCGGTTGTATAATAACAATCCGAACCGATCTGAACCGATCCGAACCGAACCGAAATCATCAAAATAACCGAATGGATATTTAATAAGAGAACCGAACAACCGATTAACCGAAAATATCGGTTCGGTTCGGGTTCGGTTAACCGAACGCCCACCCCTAAGAAGCACTTTTAGTGCTTGTTTCCAAACACACCTAAATTTTTTTTATAACATTTTATTTTATATTATAATAATTAATTTCGAAAATTAGTTACTAATTTAGATATTGTTAGATTTCCTTAAATATAGGTTATATTTAATCTAAATTTTAAATAATTCAAATTTTTATTAATTAAATTTAAAATTAAAAAAATATTAACAAATTTTATTACAAAATAGATAATAATTTTAATTACTTTCAAATTCTTTAAATACAATTTAGATTTAATTTAAAATTTTGAATTTAAAGAATATTTTTATAATAGTACAAATAGTAAATATAAATATCTTATTATATTGTTTATCATAATCAATCCGTCTAAAACATCAAATATTTAATATTAGTAAATATTTATATTTTACAATAATATGATAAAGCAAGTTAAAGTTATACATTTATAATAACAATTTTATACGAGTTAGTTTATCAAAACATGTAAGATATTAAAAAAATGATTTAAGATGCCTAAACAGACGGGTTATCTAATTCATAGATGTATAAATTGTTTATGTGTAGATCTAAATTTACATAATAATAAAGTTCATAATTAACATTATAGATCAATATATACTTAATTAACTCATATTCTTATTCTACTAATATATAAATCTATACTATTTAAAGTTAAAACATGATAACAAAATTCTTGAATTAAAAAAAAATAATAATAACAAAAATAAATTTTATTAAAAAAATATATCGGAAATAAAAAATGAAAAATTCTCGGCACGGGGTTAGAATCTAGTTCTTTGTATCTAAAGACTTTTACCTCATAAACCTTATGACCTAGCATCAAGAAGCATCGTCATGGTTCTTTTCTGTGTCTTTGATCAGGTCGATCTTTGCCTTCCTGTTTCCTTTGAAATCTTATTTTATGTTTCTCTGTAAGAAGAAAAGTTAGGACCCAGTTCTTCTAGTCCATATAGCCATTTGGTATTTCCTCTATATGTATCCCTAAGGGACACAAATTAGTTGATATTTGTTAACTTATGAAGAGACTGCTTCTTGCTTTTCTTGCATTCGGTCGGCTTCTCTCTGGGGGTCAACCAACCTTTAACTATGTTGTTCCTTCTCCATGAAAACTTAAAAAAGAACACACTGTATTTGTGCTACTAGTTCCTCTGTTTCAGCTGTATTCTCAAACTTTATAGCTGACACAAATTTTGCCAATCTGTCTGGTATTTTGCAGATTGACTGGAGAGGTATGATACTTTTGCTTCTACAAGGTTGTGGTGGCTGATCCGGAAGCATACACTTACGATGAAGAAGTGATCAAGAAAGCAGAAGCCATGGGAAAACCGGGGCTCATTGAGATCCATCCGAAAGATGATAGCTTTATATTCACCGTTGAAACCACAGGTTCAGTGAAGGCTTCACAGCTAGTACTGAATTCCATAGATATCCTGAAGCAGAAGCTTGATGCAGTTCGTCTCTCAGACGACACTGTAGAAGCTGATGATCAATTCGGTGAGCTCGGTGCCTATGTGCGTGGAGGTTGAGCCTTGTGGTAAATTCTAGCTCCATGTTTTGCTCTTCGATGTCTAGAGTTAGCCTTAAGACTCTCTGTAAGGTTTTTTCAAATCGTATATGGAGGAGAACAGAGGAATCAGAATGCTTTCGCTAAATGAGAGTTGCTCTGTTTTCTTATAATTTAGTTTGGAGATAAGGGTATTATAGACAAATCACATGGCTAAAGTGCCTTGAAAATAAAAAGAGGGACCCTTTCCCCGTCGAAGATAGAAAGGCAAAAAAATTACATACATTTAGGGTTCGCATCGAGTTATGGATCCGCATGTTATCGGAAAGTAATACGAAGAGGAGGAGCCTGATCTCAAGCGTCAGAAGTTGGAGGCCGATGAGAAATTGCAAGAGTCTTCGCCGGAGTCGCCGTCCTCAAGCAGGTCTTCGTCGGGTTACGATTCCGATGATTTTCTGGCCCAGGTTGGCTACCTTCCTTTGGATATAAGGGTCTACGATGTCAAGCCTAAACCATGACTATCTAATTACATAGGTATGCTTGTCCCATTCTGTTTTGTACAATTCTTACTAGGAGTTACATACAGGTCACTGATATTTTCTCCATCTTCCTTAATATGGATCATCTTTCATCTCAAGTATCGGTTTAGAATTAGGTTTGCAAAAGTTGTTTTCTATATTTGATGGATAATAAAAGTTGATAGTAAAAATTGAGATGATATATGTGGAGAGCTAATTGTAGTGGCCATTAGGAGGGGTTTAAGTAAAACATGAGTAGATAGGTAAGGTCTGAAATCTTCTTCGTGCCATTCTGCTTACAGTTCTGTAGACGTGGAAACGTCACTTTGTGGTGTAGTATCAAGTATATAACATATGATTAGGGGTAAGATCTGTTTTGTGAAAGTTTTGTTTGCTTATCCTGTTCATAAATCGTATGTTGAGCATCAACATGGTTTTTTTCTGTGTGTTTGATCTTAGCATTTTGTTGCTATCATCACCATTGTTATTATGATACTTCGCTTCTTTAGGTTGTGGTGGTTGATCCGAAAGAATATACTTACAATGAATAAAGCAGAAGCCAAGGAAAAATGTCACTTAGTGTTTATTATCTTCATTTACTTATTAATTAACAAATACAGTTCTCATCCCATGTGATTGAGTAAATTCTTTTGTTTGATCGTTTCTTGTTGTTTGCTTGGTTAAACTGAAATATCAATTAGACAAAAAGAAACTTGGCAATTTTTTTTATTATGTAGATGAATCCAGTGGACGTTTATTAACATGTAAGAAACTAGGGTTTTGTAAACATTGCAAAGCGTGACAGATAAATGCAAGTGGACGTTTATCAACGTTAGGGTTTTGTAATCATCACACAGCGCGGCCAAATCAGAGTTCCTTATTCAATCAATCAAGAATTTCAATGATAATAAAAGTTTTTTTTATTTTTTGTTTCTGGTCGATACCAATTGAAAGAAAAACTGTACAAAGGAAAATGTTTCGATTGAGACTCATAAAAAGAGCAATAACAGAGTATGAATTTTGTTAATAAGTTTTGAAAATCAGGTATGCTTTAAACCGTAAGGTTTGTTTATAACTAATGACAAATTTTGTTACGCCATAAACCCAATATTAAAAACCCTAGGCACTATCAAATCCTATCAAAAACCTTAAAGCCCAAGAAAGTCTCCTAAAAGCTCTTATTTTCATTACATGGTGGTTCGCTCCATCTGCATGAAGAAAAAGTAAAAAACCTTATTCTTTGATACAAACAAATTTAGGTATGTTTAAGTGCGTTTAAATTCGAAGTTTTTTTTGTATATATCACCACTAGTGCCGGCGGATCTTGGCATGTGCCAAAGGTGCATTTACATTGGATGTTAATATTTGTTTTGCAAATTTTAGTAAAGAGTTTAGGATTTTTTTTTAAAAAAAAGTATTTTTGCAATATTATGCTTATTATATATACAAAATTAGATTATTGTACGGGTCTATAAAACTCATGAGAGGGATATTCACCATTCAAAATATATAAAAACGATTCATCAAAGAAGAGTCTCTCCAGTCACTAAGATGCTCGTCTTCTTCAAACTCTTTGTTGTGCTGGTGTTTTGGTTCTTCAAGATCCTTGAAAATCTTCTGCAGTAACCTATCAATCATCTTAAGGATTTGTGCATATTTAATATAGTTCAGCAAAACTGCTATTTATAGATTTTTGTGTGTGTGTTCATCTAGTAAATGTTTAACCAAAAATGGTTTGATCTACATATGATGAGAGGAACATGAGCCCATCACCAACTGCCCTACACACGAGGTAGAGTTCTTGTTACCCCAATAATTTTTTATTTTGTAAATGGATTGTGGGGCAGAAACGCTTTAAGAGCTGGCAAACAGTACTTAGTAAGCCAGTGCCACTCCATACAGGTGGTGGTCTTGTGGAAATCCAAAAATGCCTACTTAATTCATTTGCAAAAGAAATTGGGATTTTCTATGTTTTTAGTTATGTTAAAATTGCATCAAAAGAAAAAGGAGAAAAATGTTAGTCACTGCTATTGGAGACCCTTGCTACTATTATATTGTAAAGTCTTTTTATTTTAACAAAATTAGCATTCACAAATGTTATGTGGCAAAAGGTAAACAATATAATATTTAAGTTTATATTAGATTCTCAAATTAACAAGAACAGTAAAACACTATATACAAATATGTTTCAAGGAAAGTCATACGTATAACATTTTATATTGTGTTGTATAGGTTCTTTCATGTGAGAAAGATTGGAAGATAGAACAAAATTCTCAGAGGATTGATATATTCAAAACTAGGTGATAACAAAACAAATTTTATCATAACTCAAAATTATACAGTTTTAATAACATTTGTTGTTTTAGAGCTTTGGTGGACATTAGTGCTCAATGTGTGCACATAAAGAAAGAACTCAATAAATTGATACATTTGACTATAGTGAGAAAGATTGGAGGGTGGACAACATTCTCAGATGAGTGATAAACCAAAGAAAAGCTGGTTACAAAATGAATAAATAAAAGTTAAAGAATATTCTGTTGATATAAGTGATATGACTCACAACATAGATAAAAAGCGGCTCTGAATATACAAGCTAAAAGAGAAAGAAAGATCCAACTTACAAATCTCTCCGCTCAACACCTTGTGAATAATGTTAAGAAGCATAGTAACAGTGCCGTGGGATCATTTGCGAATGTTAAAGATTTTTTGGTGAACAAAAGTTTAGTTTTTCTTGAAAGCATGTGCGAGTACACATGTAACATTCTCCAAGAAGATTGTGATCATGATGCAGCACTAATGAGTTTCTGTTTTGCAACGTTTTTTTTTTTTAATTTTCTTGTTAATTTTTATATATTTTTACAACTTATATTTATTATTTTTCCATACTTGGTTAGGCAACCAGAATTATAGACCTTAAACGTATTAAAGCTAATCAAATCAATGAAGAGGAAATCATAAGATTATTAGCTCGAAAGCCTGTGATGATCGAGATTGTAGCACACAAAAGCTTCACAAATTTCAGAGGGGTATTGCTTGTGAAACTTTTATATTTATATTTGTTTTTTAACATGAGAAAACATACTAAACATAGTTAATGTATGTGTGTTTGTGGTAAGATGAGATTTACTAAGGGCTTAATCGTAAGGATTACCTCATGCGCAATCAAATCGCTCTTGTGTTGATTGGCTTTGGGACTGAGGATGATATTCACTTGTGGATAGTTCAAAATTCGTACAGAACAGGTTGGGGTTAGGAAGGTTATGGGAAAATCATTAGACAAATCAGTAGAAATCCGAATAAGCCATTTTTTATTCGTAAAGTTTGATATCCTCAAGTATGAAGTGATTTTTTTTTACGGTTTTCAAATTTTCAGATTTTGTCTATATGATGGTTCGTTTGTACGATCTCACTCAATCGAGAAGATATTTGGTTAACCACCCGGTTTTCTATTACCCACGACATGAAAACTGATCCGGTATCGAGGATTTATTTTTTATTTTTATCGCCAATTCTACTCATTTGGCAAATATTTGACCTTGTCGAGACATCTTTCCTCAAATTAAAAGACCCTGATGAAAACACCCTACAATTAGAAGTTTAGATCAATCAATCATTTCGTCTCAGCACAATATCTCGCCGGAATCTCAAAAATATTTTAAATCACCATTAATAATTGGTTAACCTCCTTAAATCTACACCTGAAACTATTGAAAACATGATATCTCACATTGCTCTCTAACACATACAACTTTGCGTTTTATGAGATCTCACATTGCTCTTCAATCATTGATAAAAGATGGGTCGATTATTCAGCAAGCAATGACATGTCCACATGCAACACCAATTACAAAAGCATAACCGTAATTAAAAAAGATAGCTATAGATGAAAAAGATTATGTCATCTCCATCTCTCTCGCCTTATCCTCATGAAGAGAAAGAGTGAGATGGATTTCAGATGCACAAGGCCCTAAGGATCGAGTTTCAGAAGAAGAAAAAACAAAACATGTGAAAGGAGACTGAGTAAGGGTACAAATTGTTATCTTCTTCATCACAGTTATTACACTTAACCCTAGAGAGAATCATCCTCAAATCTTCATCTTTCATTTGGGACTTCACGTTGGTGATCACGACGCAGCAATCACAGCTCAGACCAGCGGTTCCAGAGAATTCTCGAACGCTCTCCTGATGGTCAAATTTTGAACTGTAACAAATACAAGTTATTTGTCTTTTTTTTTCTTTTCTTAATCTTACAACTCAGCTACACTATATATTTGATTAGGTATATTCAGAGCCTTTTTGTGGAATGTTTTCAGTTTAAGGTTTTGTTTTGTCATAGTTTAAACCGGTAATCTCATCTGTTCTGTGAATTTAAAAGACCAAACCATAGTAATAGGTTAAACCTGAAAAGGAAGAGACTGTAGGATTAGTAACGCAACTAAATTACTAGTACATGAAACATTTATATGGATGTATTTTAAATATCACTCATGTTTATCTCATACAG